TCTAGAGATGGGTCATGGGCAGAATGGGGTGTGATGTGGTACTTTTTTAACTTGTCATGGCAAAAATTTTAATAATAGTAACAACCAAAGGGCTGTCCTCCTCGCAATAATGCTCTGTACATTAAGAAGGGCCAGTCCTGTGCTGCCTAGCCTGTCCTCTGAGCTTTGCTGGTGTGACAGAATCTAGTACTCTGCTAACACTGCCTTCAAGGAGCCCAGAGCTAGCATAATCTGAACCATGCAGAAATTCTTTATCCACTTGACTTTTCTTGTGTGGAAGGACAGGTCAAACTCTTCTAGGGGATTACAGGTACTTTTGAGGAGGTTCTGCAATGTTTTGTGGCTTGATATAACAGGTTTAGTCATCCCTCCAACAGGAACATCTAGAAGACCCCCCCATCCATCCGTGCATTCCTCTACAACGTGGAACACGCACCGGATCTCTTCCAAGCCCTGATGAACAGCTTTTAGGGAGCCTACAAAGCCTGGCTAATGCTCGTTTGACATGTATTCTGGGTGCCAGAGAACTGGGCTCAGTAAGTACAACTCCAAAGTGACTGTCCAAGCCATGTAACAGTGTTCCACTGTTCAGTTACACGACGCAGAAAAAGAAGTCTCCTGGAGAAACAGAAGGGAAAACAGGGCAGAATATATAACGAAAATCCGCATCTACATAGAACTGATTTCTAAAGAGATTCAGGAACATTACATATTGCTTAGGAGCGTCATGTTAAGTGGCAAGAGACAAAGGAAGAAAAAATGGAAAGACGGTTTCCCTCTAAAAGAAAAAAACTACAAGGGTTCCTTGCCACCCTGGAACAAACTCCAACCTCATTAATTTGCACATCAATTATTTATTAAGTGGCTGCTGTGTTTGGTGCTAGGTCAAATGCAAAATTTAGCTAAAACCTGGTCCTCGCCTTCATGGAACTCTCTACAGTACACATTATATAATTTCATTAGATTGATGCTAAGCGAGGTTAAGTAAGTCTAAATGAGAAGGTTATTACCAATCTTGGGGCATTAGGGAGGAGGAGGCATCCTAGTTGAGCTTTAAATGATGGGGAAGAATAATTATTCAGCTTTGAAAAAGAGGGAGAGCACAAAGTCACAAAAGCAGGAAAGGCAGGAAAGGTAATTTAAGAGGCAGAGTAACCCAGTTTGACTTGATGGAAGAGATAATAATTACAAAATTACAAGAGTAACGTATGTTAAGGCTGGAAAGGGAGGGGGATACCAAATTCCAGAGGACCTTAAATGCCTGACAAAGCAGTTAAAACTTGATTCAAGTGCTAATAGGGAACACCTGATTTTTGAAAACAGGAGAGATGGGACCAGATTTAGGCACAGGAAAGACTAGTCTGGTATATAGCCCAGATCAGAGAAGGTAACAGCGGAGGCAGATTAGTTAGAAGTAAACTGGAATAAACCAGGTATGGAAACGAAGGCCCACTCTAGAGTGGTAGCAGCAGGAACTGAAAGGAAGGGAAAGATGAAGGAGAGGTCACAGAAGCAGAATCAAGTACTCGGTACAAGAATGATGGAAGAGGCTAGGATGATGAAAGGTGGCTAACCTGGGGAAATGGGACAATGATGGCCAAAGACAGAGAAACAGGCAAGTCAGAAGGAGCAGATTTAGGGAGTGATAAGCTTGGTTTAAGAGCTGAGTCTGAGGTGTCAGTGTTTTCAATGAAGCCCTGAAGAGAGCAGGAGTAGCTGAAGCTTGAAGCCAAATGAGACCAAGTGAAAAGATGAGTAAGAGCCATTCACACAAAAGGATAAGAAAAGAATGTGAAGAGGAGCAGCTAGGTGGCACAGTGGACAGAGCACTGGCCCTAGTCAGGAGGACCTGAGTTCAAATCTAGCCTCAGACACATAACATTCACTAGCTGTGTGTGACGCTAGGCAGGTCACTTAACCCCAATTGCCTCACCAAAAAAAAAAAAAGAAAGGATGTGAAGCCAGTGAAGGAGACTGCGAGGTAAGGAAGGGAACCAAGAACAGGCAGTCCCTCTGAAGCCCAAGGAAGAAGTGTCTCATAGGAAGGAGTGTCCAAAAGAGCCAAAAGCTGCCGACGTCCGGCTCTTTCGGACCATCCTGACTGGCTGGGAAGCAGAAGAGTGTGCCAACTCCTCGCCCAAGATCTGTTCCAGCTCACTGAAGCCCAAGCTGCCTATCTCCTTCAAAGTGTATGGGTACTACATGCAAGCCATAAACTCCCTACTGCTGTGCTCAAGCCTGAAATAGCTTTGCAAGTAATTATTCAGTAAGCTGAAATTAGAAAGCAGTATTTTTGTCTAGGAAGCAGGAAATATGCTGCTTTCATTTACTAAGGAGCTATATATCTCTTAGCAGTCTCCTCTAGAATTGCCAATTACTCATGCAAGCAGCTTTACCTCTAACGGTTTACATTTTCTTTTAAATTTTAATTCTAACAGCTAATTTTATCTAGAACTAGGTCTAGAATAACTGTAAATTGGCACATTTTTATCCATACTTCCACCATGCATCTCTGTAATTTTCTATTTAATTTTTTCTTCAATTAACAAAATTTTCATATACCCTTCTCCCACTGAAAACCACCACACCCACAAAACCCTTTTTAACAAATATGCATAATAAAGTAAAAAACATTTCCACACTAGCCATGTCCAAAAGTCTCTCTCCCAGTACCTGCATGATCAGCCTTCTGTCATCAGGGGCTATTGCGCTTCATTCAACCTCCTGGAGTTACGGTTAGCCATCAGAATGATCAGAGGCCTTCTGTCATTCAGTGTCGTTTATCTTTAGAGTGCTGTTGTTACATAAATTGTTCTCCTGCTCACTTCGTTTCAGCAGCAATTATTTCTGTACATGTGGGTCCTTTTTCTGTCCATCCTTTGTGGATAAGTCTAGTATCCACACTAACTCAAAGAATGCAGAGCTTGGTAACTTTGCGGGGCATAGTGACAAATTGCTTCCCAGAAGTACACAGCCCCACCCAATAAAGTGTATTAATATGCCTCTTTCTCCACAGACTCTCTAAGATTTATCATTTCCATTTTTTTATCATCTTTGATAATCTAATGACTACAAGGTAGAACCTGCTGTATATGAAAATTCATTTGTATGTCTCTATTAGTGATATGGGATATTTTTTCTAGTGGCTGGTAACTTTAGATTTCTTCCTTGGAAAACTGCCTATTCACATTCTTTGACCCATTCATTTATCAATTGGGGAATGGCCTTTATTCTTATAAAGCTGCATCAGTTCCTTTAATTATCTTGGAAATGAGATCTTTATTAGAGAAACTTAAACTTGGCCAATTTTCTACTAAAATCAAGAAAAGTTTTTCTTTTACTGATACTCTTAACACAAAAGAGAAAGGAAATGGAAGAAATAATGTAGAGAAAAGTAGAGAGAAGAAAGTTTTAGAGCACATTAATCTGAATATAATTTCAATCTAAATAATCTTGCCTTAATTAGAACTTTGATATCTAGACTTTTAATACTTGAGGATACAACCATTGAAGGTACAATATATTTCCACCTTTCAGAATATGATGAGGGGATGAATGGGATAATGTGAGTCCCTCATACATGGTGGCTGTTCAATACATATATTTAATTCATTTTATTTGTTGACTATTTTCAGTCTTTTTGCACTCAATCTATCAAATCAAGCTGGTTTTAGCCTTAGATGTGGAGAAAGTGGGGTAGAGCTTATGGTGCGTGAATAAATCCAACTGGGCTTCCACAAACCTAGAACCTATAACTAGAACATATACCAGCTTAGGAACCAATAGTTACAAACCCGGCACATGAAAAGCCATAAGAAAGATGTGATGGGAAAGGTGGCTAATTGGAGGGATGGAACACAAAAAGAAGTCCTAAAGAAGACTGAGAGCAGATGACGGAACCAAAAAAGCGAAGTTATCTAAGTGATGAGGTAGGGGAGCAATGAAAGGAGACTGAAAAGGCAACAAGAGAAACAGAAAGTCATGGAATTTGACTGGGTTTATCATTATCATGCTCTTCATTTAGACTACTGGACTATCAGAGTTCCAGAGGTTCTTTGTCCTGTTTATCAGCTTTTCAGAATATAAATCAACAATTATTAATATTGTTAATAACTTATTTTATTAATTATAAATAAAATAATAATAAACATTTAGAACATAAGTAATAATTAAATAAATTATCTCCAAACTGTCTGTATTTGTACCATCAGAAAAAAAGAGAAAGCCAGCAGTTATAAACCATACAGTACAGACTTTTTCCATTAATCCCAAAATTCTTAAGAGAATCTAATAGTGTGTCAGAAAATTTTTTTGTTCACAATAAAATGTTAATTATGTAATGTGTAGTTGTTGATTTATTTTGCTTTTGCATAAACAGAGTACAACCATAAATGACTAAATTTCATATTTAACAGAAGTCATGATTAAATGAATAAAACTCATCTTTTCATTGCCCAGGAAAACCATTCATCCCTTTTCCTAGGAAGGATGTTGAAAAGCCTTCTTGAATATCAATGTTCTGTGACTGAAAGGGCCCCTGCTCTTAAGAGAATTGCGTGAGAGGTAACTGACCTTCAGAAATCAGAGGTTAATAAGTGAGTTGCCCACAGCTCCCAAGGCAACACTGGAACTCCAGTCTTTCCCTCCATTACCGTCTGCTGTCGTGAATCACCCCATAAAGTGAAAGGTAGGACTGGGATGCAGGAGGGTGAAATCTCTCCACTGATTCCAAATTTGTGAAAGCTTATTCAATTGTTAAATAAATACAAACATGGCTCACACACAACGGCATAACACCATTCAAAACAATTTTAAGTGAAAGTCTTTTTAAAATGACGCCACAATTCTCTTACAGCCTGAAACTTGATGACTTATTACACAGTATTTTTTTGTCTCCACAAAAGCACACAAAAAAGCACACTTACCACAATCTGTTTAAATTCCAATCTAAAATACACAAAAGTCATCTTTTTTCAAACCTTCAAATCCCATTAGACTTCTTCTTGTTGTAAAGTCTAAAACTCTGATCATTTGGGGCCTTCTCATCAATACTTCTCAAGTAAACATACATAACTCCACGGCTTTTCAGGTGTTTTCCAATTATGTGACCTCTAGAAATCTTCCAACATTTCACTATCTTTTGCCAAGTTTCACACGACTCAGAAACTCTCTGACCTTCAACATAAAACCAGAATTACTTAACTTATCTTTACATTTTTCACATTGGCTCTTTAACCTTTCATAAAAGGATTTTCTCTTTGGGTCCAATTCCCATAATAGTCTTCTCTTAAAAGAATGGTCTTTGCTCCATATTTCTCTCCACGAACCTTTATATTTCTCTATGTAACTCGACTTCTCAGTGTCTTCTTTCCAAATTCCTTCTCCTCTTCTTATGGCTTTTAGCTCTGCTTTTAGTAGGTTTTTGTGAATCGTCCAATACACCCTAGAGTTATGATCTAGCTCTTTGATAAGAATAGTTTTGCCAAGCCCTCTTCGCAAAATCTCTTCGTTCAAACTCACAGTAAAATACATGCCCTTGAATAAAAGAAAGTGCACACTTATCATCGTCTACTCAAAGGTCTGACCCCCGTTCCCCCAACCCCTGCAGCTGCATACATATGTAAACACATGCCACTTACAGAGGGGTCCCAAAGAGGGCTCCCAGGACCAGACCCCAGCCCTGGAGCTGTGCCCTTTGGTTCTCCCTCTGACTTTACTTATTTTGTTTAGTGTAGAATTCTTCTTAATTAGTCCAGTTACTTGGTTTCAGTCAAAAGGCAGATTACGAACTAGAAGGAGGGCCAGCAGTGAGGTGGGTATAGAAGAGATAAAGACAAGACGAATAATGGATGGTCAGAATGGTGGCATAAAATTATCAAGAAGAGAAATATAAGCATCTAAAAAAGTATTTTTCAGATACTTCCATCTAAAGCTGGGGCACTGGGCTTGGAATCAGGAAGACTCACGAGTTCAAATCTGGTCCCTGACACTTACTAGCTATGTGACCCTGGGCAAGCCACTTAACACTGTTTGCCTCAAGTTTCCTCATCTGTAAAATGATGTGGAGAAAATGGCAAATCATTCCAGTCTTTGTCAAGAAAACTCCACATGGGGACACAAAAAGTCGGACACAACTGAAATAACTGATAACAAAAAGCCTTAAGAGAGAAAACCAATCCTTACTGCAGAAGATTAACAACAGATGTCTCCAGAGAATCAAACCAGGACCAACAGGCAGAAATGACTGGGAAACTGATGGCCTGTGTGTAAGGCTCCTACCATCTGGCTGCCTGAGAGAAAGGCAGACACTGTAGTTCACACCGAGAAGCTCCAGTAAATCTTTCCAACTGGAACCCCACCACCAAGATGGTCAAGAAATCCAATGAAACTACAATCAATGATTTCTTCCCAGAACTGCATTAGAATCAGACAATAAGAAAGGGTCTTAGCAGCAAAGCCAGGGCATACATGGCAGGGTGGCTCCACAACATGCTCAGCAACTGGCCAGCGACATGTCTGTGCAGCCTGCAAGGCTCATGTCTAGAGGCTCAAAGAATGGGGGTATCCCTTGAGCAAGCCTTAGGAAGGGGATCTCTAATGTATCCAGCAACGCGTGCAGTCCTGCAGCGCTCAGATGTGGGGACTCTGAGGTTCTTCTAACCCTCTGTCCTGAGATGCCAAGGATGGCCAGACAGATCTGGCCAGCCCTGTGAACCTCGAAGTTCCTGACACACAGTAGGCATTTAACAAATGTAGACTGACCGACTGACTGATGGATCTAGGGCAGCCTAAGCCCAGGAGGCAGAGGTCAGTGCAGGAACCCTGGGCAATACACCCTAATGCACATCCTGGGGAGAGCCTAGCCCTGGACCAACCCAATTCTGAACAAAAGCTGGAGAGAAGTAAAACAAAAGACAAAATGAGATAGCAAGGGAAAGAGATGGAGAAGGGGAATCAATCAGCCAAAAGGAGAGGCAGAAAATTATTGTTAAGTACACGATAATACTCTAAATTACAAAACAGAAAAAACTTGGTTGGGGTACACGTGAAAAACCTAAGAGCCTGGTTGCTTTTTCTCAGTACTTACTCGATTCACCAACAGGCAGCACAGAAGCGATGAGTTGTCCCTCGCCAGCAGCTGGAACCACAGTACTTGGAAAGGTTTTAACTCCTTTCTCAACCACAGGTGACCAGCCTCAGTGAGCTCCACTCCCGCTAGCTTTATCAGCAAAACCCCACACGGCTGCTCTAGAGAGGTAAAAGTCGTTACATTTTTAGCCAGAGAAACATAACGCAAACAATAATTTCCAAGTTTAGTTTGAAAAGTCACAAGGTAACATTTATTTTCAAAATACTCAAACTCCTACCTACTTCTTTACCCTCAGTTTTCCTTAGGAAATAAATAGGAAGGGTGATTTTTAAATGCCAAAGAAATGCCATGTCATTGATGTGTGGCATACAATTCCAGGGTTAACAAATCTATCTCTCCACACATACCTGATATTTTGTCAATTATTATACAATTGTTAACAAAAATTCTTAAAGTCAAAGTCTTTCATTTTTAGTAATGACAGATTTTGCAAACACTTTTCACCAATGTTAAGTTTTCTGAGTATCTTTAAATTCATATGGGTTATTTAAAAACCAACAACAATGATATAATAATGTAAATTCTACAAGGGCTTAAATTTATACCAAAGAGAGTAAGATCCAGAGAAAGAACAAAAAGAAACGTTAAAACTTCCCTATGACTTTATTTGCTCTCGAGAAGCTCTTGGTTTAAGACAAGCAACTTCTCGACCAACTCTCTATGGGATTTTAACTATTCAGTACTAGGAGCCCTAAACATATCACTAAAAAACAAAATAATCTCAACAAGAAACAACTGATTCCAAATGTGAGAATCACTTCAGGATGAGATGTCTATGTGTAGGCAACTCATTAAGTCACTGTCAAAGGACAAAAATCAACCCCAAATTATAAGAAATGTCAAACTAAGGAGAACTGGGGCCGTCTACAACAACTCCAACCCAAACAACTATATGTAGAGTGAGCTACTGAAGCCCTCAAGGGGGAAAGAAATAAAGGAAAAGGTATCATTTCCTACAGAAGCAGCTTAATCGATGTTAAGTAATGGCTAGAAAGAGAAGTCCACGAGAGCCCAGCAACTGCCTTGGCAGACTGCTCCATCCCAACCCCCACACTGGTTTAAAAGCTTGAGCCCAAATCATCAATCTACCTTTTCCAATTTCCTGCAGCCCTTCCAAGGCTTACTTACCTTCCATGCTTATGCCAGCTCCACACGGTCTCATTCCCTAGACTCAAGATAACAACTATCTTTTTCTACAGACATATGCACTTCTCTTGGCAGTATGGGTATTTACATGCTGCTAGTTCTCCCTTCCACAGCCAGAGCCCGCCCCGCCACCTTCCGGCTTCATATTTGTCTAGGTTCCACCCACTCTCCATACTGGGTTCATCTTGCCCTGCTGATGCTGACCCCCAATCCCAGAAAGGACTCCTCCCCAGTCCTTGATTCCGTCAACTGAAATCTTTCTCCCATTCCTTCAAGGCCTAACCCAAACGGCACATCCTTCAGGAAGCCTTCTCTGAATCCCTAAGGTAAAATTTTAGCTGAGACTTGGAGGAAGTCAGGAAGCAGAGAGTTTTAGGCCTAAGGAAGAGCCAGGGGAAATGGCCAGAAGTAGGAAGGAGATGGAGTGTTGAGGATGTGGGACAGCCAAGAGGCCAGGACCACTGGATCACAGAGTATGTGGAGAACAAGGTGTAAGGAGACTAGAGAGGGAGGAAGGGCCCAGGATGTAGAGACTTTAAAAGCCAAGGAAAGGATTTTATATTTGGTGCTGGAGGTGATAGGGAGCCACTAGGGTGCACCACGTGGGGGGAAAGGAGTGACGTGTTCGGACCTGAGATTTAAGAAGATCAATCTGACTAAAGAGAGAGGATGGAATGGAGTGGAGGGAGACCTGGGGCAGGAAGATCAACCAGCAGCTGATGCAACGGTACCAGTTTAACATTAAGTGCTCAGTAAATCCTCTCTCTTCTCTGTCACTAATCCAATGTGTATAAAATGAGAAGAATAACTTTAATTTAAACATTTCCCTAATGTTAATAGGTAAAATTATGTGGGTTTTTTTCTACTTTACCAAAAACACAGAATACTAGGACTTCCCAACAGTTATTTATATTTATTCCTTATGCCTTTACCTTTACTTACTTCTCCATGATGAAATTAGAGGGATGTGAATGGGAATATGCTCCAACTCCAGCCCCTTTTCAGTTACCCGGTGTAGTCGTCCTCGTAATTTAACATTATTTTTTATAAATTCTTTAGGAATCTCTGAAGGACTTATAAATTTGGATGTCTGTTGATTTGCAGGAAAAAAATACAACACAAAAATTCTTGCCAAAACTGTTTTAGTATTTCTGCCATTAAAACAAGAATTTATTGACTCTTATACATCTAGCAAAATATCTTAAACAACATAATCTTCACTTAGTTATTTCTCATTCACCTTGTAATTTGTAACTTCAAAATACCCTGGAGTCAGAGATGAAAATGACACTAGACACTAATGAGACAAGAGATCGGGAAGGGACAGCACAAAAAGAAAGATACCATAAGGAAGGGGGAGAGAACCCAGTGACAATGGCCAGAGCAGTATCACACACCAAAGGCCATGTATACAAGAGGGCTCTTTGGTAAAGACAATGAACAAAGAAGGCCCAAGGAAACAAAAAGCCATCTTTGTTTTTATAAAACGGCAGCAAAATCTGCTACCAGACTCCTTTAGAAAGACAGTTTTTTTTTTAATTTGGTAAATCTGAAAGCTTCAAGGCACAAAGTAGTCTGTGTAAAACCTACGTGGAACCAAGACATAGATTTTTAGGGAAATATACTAAAAATAAATGTGAAGTCCAAAGAATCTGAAGATATGTTAAAAAAAAATACATGCTAAAGATTAATTTCTTTGAGCAATTCATGAAGCTAAAATCAAAACCACAGAAGTCACCTAGTTAAAAGAAAACAATTTCCTCTGAGATCAAAAAAATCGGAAGTAAAAAATTTTTAAACTATATCTGGGCAGCTAGGTGGCGCAGCAGACAGAGCACTGGCCCTGTAAGTCAAAAGGACCTGAGTTCAAATCCGGCCTCGGACACTTGACACTTACTAGCTGTGTGACCCTGGGCAAGTCACTTAACCCCAATTGTCTTTAAAAAAAAGTATAATATCTGCTTGTCTGTTCATTCCTTCATTCCTACCTTATTGAAGACAGGGAGATGGGTGAGATTATTCCTTCGAGTGTTCATTTGACTTTTTGTTATAGCAATGAATAGATTTATAATTTTTAAAGTTTAACCTGAATTCAAGACATTTCAAAAATAAGAGAATCCCAAATTACAAATGACATAAAGACAACTAGAGAGGAAAGACTGGTATTGCTTTATGGATTAAGTAAGAGAGTAAAACAAGGGCTTCCTGCTTTGCAGTGTATCCAGTTAAAGAAGTCCAGGAAAAGGAAACAAAAACTGAAGTGAGAATCAACTCCTCAGTCACGAGCACAAAGCTGTGACTGACAGGAGTAAAAAACCCTTCATGATTTTTGAATTGCTTTTCTTCTGGGCACTTTGATAGTGGCATTTAAGACAATGAAACAGAAATGAAAGTCAGTTTCACCTCAAGAAACAATAAAAAACCTGACACGGCACCAATGAATCCCTGTTTCATGGTAGCAACAGGATGATCAGCTACAACAAGATTAATGATCTTTTTTTAAAGAATTGTTAAAAACCATCCATTTAACTAAGTGAATTTCTGCTGAATGAGGCAGAAATCTCTGTAGTTCTAGGTAAAAACACCATAAAAGATATTCTGAGATAACCTGGGGAGAATGAAATGTAAATTTTCTAATGGTAACACTCTCTTAGGGCAAACCTCTGAGATTCCCTTTTAAGTATGAAATAGTAATTATAAAAATTTTATAAAAATATTTTGAATATAATTTTCAAAGATTTCAATGTTAAATAGCAAATGCTTGTAATATAAGAAATAAATGACATACTGCTTGAACTAAAACTGAACCAAGAACTTTTAAAACTGCTTATGAAGTACTTATCCTAAAGAATTTTCAAATGCCAACTTACCAATTTAATACTTCTTGCCAATAACAGGACTCCTGCTACTGCCATTCCAGTGCTAATATTCTATAAAAAGTACATAATACAAGCCATTAATTATTCATAATAACTGTGTCCAACACTGAATTTATTAGCTTTTTCAAAGTCTTAAATCTGAACTCCTCTTCCCCTCTGACTCTAACTTTCCGAATCATACCTATCCTTTAAGGTCCAACCAAAGCCCCAGAATTCCTTCCTCCCTGGAACCACTTCTGAATTCAGTGAAGACAGTTTTCACCATCCAACTTGGCACTACATCATAGGTTCCTCAAAGACAGAAAATACACCATTTACTGTCTCTCAAACCCCGAGTGCCTGGTGCAGTGAGATATAGTGAGATATTAATCAGTACCACATTGGTCTAAATTCTGGTTGCCCTTTCAGTCTCCCAACCTGGCTTTTCAGAATCCTGAGTGCAGTCTCTGCGTAACAGCGTTGGCTTTATCAGGTGCCAGGCGGAATATTTTTTGTAGATAGTTTTGCGTTGTTTTAAGTGCATACCCCTTTTTCCCTCAGTATCATGAGATGAAGGGAAAAAGTGAAGCGTATATTCAGGGTAATTTGTATTTGAATCAATATAGTACCTTGTTAATTCATCTCAGAATAATAGATTTAGACGTGAAAGAGCCTTCAAGGTAATCTAGTCTGACCCCAGATTTTTCAGTTAAGGAAACTGAGGCCCAGAAAGTATTGTAGTCACTTGCCCAAGGTCACAGACAGGTGCTTCATAAGTGCCAGGGCCCAAGATTGGAAGCCAAGTCCTCTTAACTCCAACTCTAGCACTCTTTCCACTTCATCTTTTTTTAAAACAATCTTGGACTTCCTTTCAGAACAACACTTCAGTAAAAAATACAAGAATGAAAGTTTAATTGGTTTAAAATAACTTCTTTTAAGTTTAAATTTCTTAAAATTTATTTTACTTTTAAAAGGTATTAATCTTTTTTTTTTTTTTGCAATTTTTAAATACAATTAGATACATGTCTTCCTAGACTTTCTTTTTTCTCTATCTTCTTCTTAGGCACTCTTTAAGCCCACTTGGGCACCTCAGAGACCTCTTCTGTGGATGTTTCAACTGCCCCTGCTGCCTTTTTTTTTCTTTTAAAATACTTGGACTCTTTAGGACTATGTCTATGACTAGAATATTTGGGATAAAAGGTAGTTTTCCTTGTTTCTTGTTCAACAGTCACTGTTTTGTAAGCAGCTTGTTTGATTTTTTTAATTTTCATTTATTTATTTTTATTTACTATTTATTACTTTGGTTTTATTTATATTAATATAATTATACTATTTAATATAATAATACTAAATATACTTGTATTTATATTAATTTATTACTTACGATAAGTTTAACTTACTTAAGGAATCTATCCTTAGTATGCTCTTTCCCACCTGTTTCCTAAGGATTGGATTATATCAGAGGTTCCTGACCCTTAACAAGGGTCCACGGCCAGATGTCAGGACTGTGTAGTTGGATGGGTAAAGAAATACATCGTTTTTTACTAACCTCTGCTAGTCAGCATTTCCTTCAATCATTTAACAAAACTTTCCTCTGAGGAGGGGTCCATAGATCTTACCAGAGTGCTAACGGGGAGCATGAGACAGACACACAGACACCCACAGACAGACAGACACACCCCCACCCCCGGCCCTGGCGGATCTGGACAGCTCCCACATTGCTCCCTTCCTCCCTTTCTGGCCTCCTGGTTTCAGTGTCACCCTTTTGGGGCAGGGGGGAAGCTTCTGCCTCCTAGGGCCTTGGAGCCCACCGCTCGGGGATGAGGTCAGAGCCTGGGAAGGGTCTGCCTGAGATCCAGACGGTGGGGAGCCACAGACCCGCGATTCTCGCTCCCGACCCCAAAGCCAGCGCCCCCTCCTGTAACTTGGCCGCCCTAGGACACGAGCCCCTCGCAGAGCTCCAAGCGCCGGGGCCAGGTGGGACGCTGCGATTACTCTCCTAGGCTGACGTCCAAAGGGGAGGAGGGCTGGCTCGGGCAGGTGCGCGGGTCTGGGGTCGGGACCCGGCCTCAAATCCTGACTCCATCCCCCGGGATACGCTGAAGGCCTCCCCGTTACAGAGCAGGAAACGAGGCTCGCCTGAGCCCCGGCCAGACGGGGGGCGCCGCTATGGACCCCTCCCCAGAATCCGGCTCGAAATGCACAAGACATCGTGCGTCGGGTAACCGAAGCAACCAAGGCTAAGCGAAGACGAAGCGGGCGCTTTCGCCTGTCCAAGGTCGGGGTCCCTTGGGGGTCACCCCAGGACAGGCTCCCCGACCTGACCCCTGAACCCGGCCCGCGCCCCCCGCCCCCGCCTCTCCGCCGGGGCCCCGGGGTACCCGGATGAGGCAGAGGTTGTCGTCGGCCCACTTGGACAGGAATGCCACCACGTTGAAGTCGAACTTGGCCGAAATGCAGGCTTGTAGGGGCTCCGGGGCCGGGCCCTCCAGCTCGCGGCACGCAGAAGCCGGGGTCTCCGGCACCGTCTCGGTCCCGAGAGGCTTCGGGAGCAGGGGGCGGCTCGGGAGCTCCTGCGCCGAGACGGGGCTGCGCTGGGGGGGTGCCGGGGCGAGGGATCAGCCGGGGCATCAGATTGACCAGCGGCGACCACCTGGGCGACGGCAGATGATCGGGAGGCGGCTCCAGGTGCTGCTCCGGGACGCGCGGCGACGACACCGACCTGCACTCCTTCTCCATGTCTGGGCCGAGGTGTCTCAGCCGGCCGGCCTGCGCCTGCGCCTGTGGGGGGGGGGGCCTAACGAGACCGGTCTGCGCCTGCGCCGCTGTCTGCTTAACGAGGCCGGTCTGCGCCTGCCCATCTGCTGCTCCCTGGCCAGTCTGCATTTGCTCCTCTGCTGCCACCTCCCCTAATGAGGCCGGCCTGCGCCTGCGCCTCTGCTACTTCCCGCGTGGCGACGCCGGTCTGCACCTGCGCCTCTGCTGCTACCCCCTCTAGGGTGGCTAGCCTGCGCCTGTTCTTGTGGTCGGCCTTGCGTTTCTGCCTCTCTAGCTATTACTGTTGCTCCTAACTAACAAGGCGGGGCTAAAGTCGGGGTCCGTGTCGCGCGCCAGACCCATCGTGCTACCAACCGCCGACCGTCCCTCGCGCGGCCCTCGTAGTCCTCCCGAGACCCACAACCCGCCCCGCCCCGCGCGCGTGCACCTCGTCAGTCATTGGGCAGCGGCGCGCGGGCCTTGTTACGTAGCTGTGCCCCTGCTCACTACGCATGCGGCCTCGAGGGTCGGCCCAGCCCACGTGCGAGGAGGGTGACGTCCCTTGACCCCTGGCCCTTCTCCGTCTTCGTCTCCATTTTTCCGCTTACAAGGAATCTTTATACATCTGCACCCCACCCCCGCTTCTTTAAGGAGAGGAGGGATGACCCACGGGGGGGGTGAGGGACCGTGCGGCCTTGGGGCCACGTATGGCCCTCTAGGCTCTCTGACTGAATCCAGACTTCCCAGAGCAAATCCCCTTAGTGAAAGGCCTCCAGGCCGCAGGTTTCCCCTCACCCCCCACCCCCAAAGCTTCCCCATCCGCCCTCCCTTTGGTTTTTGTCAGTCTTTGAGGCCCCCGCCCCCTCAGCCCCCGGCCTGGCCATAGCGGGAGCTTAATGGGAGCTGGTTGCCTTGACGACGGGCAGGCGTCACTTTGTTCCCTGGTTCTTGGATCTAGAAGCCCAAGGAGGCTTTGCTTCTTTCTTGGATGGGGAAGGCTCTTAGCAATAGGATGACAGTTATATAGCGTTATATACTAGTTGTATATGACAATTCTAGTTCACTTACTCCAGATAAAGGACCCCGGGCTGGGGATGCCGGGTGGTCTTCAGACCATAGGCGGCCAACCACGGGGTCCCACTCGTGTTTCCGCGTGCCCTCCAAGTTATTGTGTTGACCTTACCCCCTACTTTGTATTTGAGAGGAAAGCTAGTGGACTCCTCCCTCCCTTTCTCCCTTCCTTCCTTCCTTCCCTTGATACATACTAGCCGTGTGATCATGGGCACGTCACCCAGCCTCTCCAGGGATAAGATCGGCAACTTGTCAATAACTTCGTGGTTTAGAGGGCTTTCCCAGGAGGGCGGCCCAGCCCCACTTCAGCCTACAGATCCAGTGTTTTCGCTACGCTGCTTGTTCTTGATTTAAGCCCCGTGAGGACCGGGACCTTTGTTTTCCTATTTGTTTCCCCAGCATTGGAGCCAGGGCCTGGCCCATCATGGCGTGTTACATAGAGGGCTGGAATAATGGGGTTTTGATCTCTCTCTGTGACTGGCACGTAGGTAAGCACTTAAATAAGTGCTTGTTGATTGATTGAATGAAATCCACACACTTCTGCCTATGATCCCCAGGAAGGAAGACCCCCGGAACTCCTAGGGAAGCTTCTTCCACTTTTGGACAGCCCTAATTGTTGGAAAATTTTTCCCCAACTAGATTTCCTGATATGTTTCAACCTCATGTACTATGGAGTGGCTAGGTGGTGCCACAGTGCAGAGAACTCAGGGTCTGAAGTCTGGAAGACCTGGGTTCAGATTCATCTTCAGATTCTTCCAAGCTGTGTGATCCTGGGAAAGTCACTTCACCACTATCTGCCTCTTTCTTCTTCTGTAAAATGAGGATAATAATGGCACCTACCTCCGAGGGTGGTTGTGAGGATCAGATAAGATAGTATTTGTAAAGCAGTTGGCATAGTGCCTGACACATAATAGATGCTATATAAATGTTAGTTAATCTTTATTATTCTTTCTGTGTACTCAAGACCTTTTGCCATCCTGCTTACCCTCATCTGACACTTTCCAGGTTATGAGTTTCCTTTATGAACTATAATGCCCGATAAAGTCGGGAACACCTGCATTCAATCTGTCCTCAGATTTGGCTGTGTAAGGCTGGGCAAATCACTAACCTTTCATCTGTAAAATGAGGATAAGAGTGATTGCCTTCAAGGGTTATTGTGATGATAAAATTAAATACTACTTGTAAAGTGTTTTGCAAACGTTAAAGTGATACATAAATGCTAGCACTAGCAAAAACCTTCAAGTGCTATATAAATGTCAGCTATTGTTATCTATCCAGAATGAATTACATCTTGGAAGCTGTAGTTCTAACCTGTCATGATCCTTCTAGAGCCCAGCTCTGTTGCCCAGTCAGCTCATTGTTCTCAGCTTTATGTCATTTCCAAATTTGAGAAACATACTATGTCTTTATCCAAATAAATAAATTGTAATTACTATTAAAATGCACAGAGCCCAGTATAGTTATAGATCTGGGGCATTCCTGCAGAAGCTGCCAACTTGATATAGAAGCACTAACTGCTACCCTTTAAAGTCAGCCATCCAGCCATTTCCAAATCCATTTAATTTGACTGATTCTTAATCTCTCCATCCTTTCCATGAGAATAACATAAGTTGCTTTATCAAATGCTTTGCCAAAATCTAAGCAGATGTTTCTATAACATTTCCCTGATGCCCCTGTCAGAAAAGGAAATTATACCAGACAAACTTCATCTGCTCCCAGTATTCACAGTTTTGTGTTATTTGCAAATTTGAGAAGCATACCTGCTCTGTCTTTATCTAAGTCTTTACCTAAGTTCTACCTCTGTCGATCTTTACCCAAAGGCGCTCTGTCTTCCTTCCTATGTATCCTAGTGGTTGATTTAAATCAGCATAACTTCATCCTCAAATAGGTGTATCTAGAGAACCTCCCTGTTGA